ATTCCTTTTTAAATTACACACTAGAGCACTTTAACGAATAACTACGAGTACAAAAAAAATTTCAATAACACACTTATAAAACAGAGTTTGAAACTGTCGACCACTAATTAAGCATTTTAACACTTCATTTTAAGTGTTAAAAAAATCGTTTCTTTTCTCTATCACAAATCTTTAGCCGCTTGAGAATTTTGCCTGTCATTGATACGGGTGAAAATGAATCACAGTTTTGTGGCTTTCGTTTTATGAATCAGTAATAAAAACCATTTGCACTAAAAGTCTTTAAAGATAAAAAAGCTTTTAACAAAGACTTGAAACTAGTAAAATGTAATTTTTTTCAGCTTTTGCTAAATAACAAAAGCAAAATTTGAACGTTATAGTTATCAGAGTGTCATCAGATTGAAAAATCTGTCATATTTCAAAAAAAAAAGATTACTTCTAAAAAAAATTTTTTTTTCTTATCTTAAATACATATAGTATATCTTATCAAATAATATTTTTTAGATCTAAAATTACCGATTTATGGCTGTTTTTTATGATTTAAATTCAAAATAAAGCATAACTTATTGTTCCTCTTCCGGTTTAGATAAAAAATTTTTTTCCTATAAAAACGAGTTGAATGAAACTTTTGTAAACTGTTTGCATGAGAAAAAAAATTTAAGCTTAGTGTTTCTAATTTTTGTTTTACTTTTAAAGAAGACTTCATATGTAAATTGATCAAAGTTTTGTTTATTGTAATAAATCTGAAAATTGTATAAACTGTATTGTAAAAACTATCTGTAACGTTTATAAAAAGGTTTTTAAACACTGATATTTTTTTATAAAAGTATTTTTAACTTCTAAACAGTAAAATAATGTTGAAAAAAGGTAAAGGTTTATTGTGCTTTATTTACGGCAGAAAAAAAAAAATCTTTAAAAGAGAACTGACTGTTTCGCCTAAAATCATTTGTTACACACAGTGTTATCGTCGTTTACCGTTATCGAATGCGTTTATTTGTTGTTTCTGAGGCTGTACCTAACGTTCTGTAAAAAACTGGCTAACTTTTTTTGTTATCTAACTCATAGAGATATCAATTCCAGACAGAATATGTTCCATGCTTTCCAGTTTCTTAGCTGCTACACTAAACTATCCAACTACAGGAACCGTTTGAAGACAAACCTACGCTTTTGAAATGTTCAAAATATTTTCCGTTTTCAACGTTTCCTCTCGTCTACGAAATCTGCATTTTTGTCGACTCATTTCATTTGCCAGTTAGGATCAATCTAAATTATCGCTATGAAAGAGTCGATGACCACTGGTTAAGAAGCATTAGAAATGCATATCTGTCACTTTTGTATGAACATTAAAAAAAAAAAAAAA